ATGTATATACTGTATATACAGTATATGTATATACTGTATATACAGTATATGTATATACTGTATATAGAGAGAGAGAGAAATGGTTTTGCGGCAGTGTTTATTTAGGAAAAACCTGCATATGAGGTTTTACACACAATGTTTACAGACAGGAATTGAGAAGCATCCCTGTAGTTGGCATTAGCAGTGATAGTAAAACGGCACCACACACTCTTTAATTGATTTGATTGATGCAGAGACACCACGGCGATGACCACTGAGCAGAATGCAGATCACAGCTTTATGTAAAAGCACAGGCAGGTGTAACATTATTAAAGATGGATCTGTTCCATGTGTCCCAGTGTGTGTCCCAATGTGCCAGTGAGCCCATGACAGTGTGACAGACGGCCAGCATGCATGCACAGTACCAGGAATGCTGATGCCGAAGCAGCTAATTCAGCCATCATTTATTTTAGCCCTGAAATGCCTCTCAGAGGTAATAACATGTAACGCAAGGTTGCACGCATATCTCCATCGAAAGATACAGTAGGAAAACCTCTATGAAAAGCTCAAGGGAGATGCAATGCTATCCATTTCTCTGCCCTGCGTGTGTGTGTGTTTGTGTGTGTGATTGGAGGGGAGGGGGGGGGCAGTTAGCCTTGCAGCAGTGTCTGTGTTGATGGAGAGAGAGGGGCCTGCAGGATCCTGTGTGTCAGCAGCCTGCATGTGAGAGACATTGCCTGGCGGAAGTGCATCACTGGCAGATGTCCAAATCCCCCTTTACTCCCCCTTTCCCTTCCTGGTCTGTCTTCCTCTTTTGTCTCCGAGCACAGAGAACACAGAGGCCCTTTAAGACAGCCACTGGGAAAAAACATATGGAGGCCACTGTCCTTCCTTTCTGCTTTTCCAGTTGACAAATACAACAGCTGTGTTGTTGGTGTAAAAAAATCAACACGCTTCATTGTAGGTTCCTCGCGTTTGCATCATAACGGGAGCGTGTGCTTCTGCCTCTCATGTGGCTATGACAAGGTGTGTTTATTTACACTCGTTGAGGACTCCAGCCCCAGTGACACACCATCGTGTCGTCTGATTGGAGCGAAGCGGTGTCATTCACCATGCACTTCGCGTGGGAGGAGCCCGCAGTCTTCTGATGAAGTTTTTTCGTGGAGGAGTTGTGCTTCTCTCTCTTATAGCTCACAGAGGGATATCAACACAGGAAATACGTTGGGAGGCAGTAAACACCTGCTGCCTCCAGCGACCCCCCCCCCCCCCATCGCACAGCCTCCAACGCACAGAGCAAACCACACACAACCGCATGCGTGCCAAAGCACAGCAACCTTCTCAATAGAGCAGACTTAAGTTTCTCTGAGGTCTGTTTGATCAACAGTTAACATCACAACTGAAGTCCAGCTGTTGAGTGTGTGTTGCCACGGCAACATTCTGCATCACATATAGTGAGAAAATCTGTAGAATTGTTGAGCATTTAAATGCAGATTTTTTAATTTTTTTTTTTTTTATCAAATTCTCCCCATCACATGTATGATTTGGACTTTCTGGCTCACAGGGTAGGTGTTTGTCCTCATACCTTTTTTTTCTGTCTCATTTTCCAGGCTTGGAAGAAACGCTGGTTCATACTCCGGAGCGGTCGCATGAGCGGTGACCCCGATGTCCTCGAGTACTACAAGAACGACCACTCCAAGAAACCCATCCGGGTCATCGACCTACACTGCTGCGAACAGGTGGACGCCGGCCTGACCTTCAAGAGGAAGGAGTTCCAGGACAGCTTCGTGTTTGACATCAAGACCTCAGACCGCACTTTTTATCTCGTAGCCGAGACAGAGGAGGAGATGAACAAGTGGGTCCGCTCCATCTGCCAGCTGTGTGGGTTCAACCAGTCGGACGACAACCACGGTAGGAATCCCTGACCTGTCCCTGCTATTCTAACCCTCTGCCACTGCGTTGTTTATCTCTCCACCATCTCTGCTTTTACCTCTACCAAGTTCAGTGGTTTTGTTATTTGTTGTTTAGGCCAAAGTTTCAAATGAACTAATTAAAAACTCATTAAAACATTTCAAATTTCAGTTAAACTTTTCAGCTTAGCTTTAGAAATATTTTTGCTCTTCTGCTACGATCTCACATTTGAATGTTCAATCAGTTAGTTGGTACAGCAGACAATCATGCTTCCAGTATGATAATATTCACTGAAATGATTAGTCAATTAATGAATTTGTTGATTAACAGAAAATGAGCGACATAATTTGGTTATCGATTCATTTATCTAACAAAACTTGCCAAAAACTTGCTGGCTTTGCTCTTAATTATGAATGATTATCTGCTTTTCCTTGTTTTATATCATAATAATGATGCGACTTTTTCACAAATTCTTGACATTTTATTGGCTAAATACACAGAACAATATAAACAGTATAATATGCATATACTGTATCTTTACTGACTGGATACAATGTGTTTTGTTGTCTAAGGCATATAAGCCGTAGAAAACCCAAATACAATAACTCCTCCCTTTTATCAGTCTCCCTCTGTGCTTTCTCATGTTATTTGGAACAGATTGCATCTTAGTTTTCACAAAAGAAATCAGCAGCAGAGGGTCCAGTCACATGATATCATTGGCAATTGTGTTCTTTCCATCTTTGCTATTGGAGAGAGTGGAATAGGAACATCCCTGCCAAATAAATGGACACAGTGTCTGAGAGTGTTATTGATTTTTCTCTTCATTTGTTTTGTTAAAGAAGGGGTCCGAGCTGTTGTGTTCAGGATGATGGAAATTCTTAGTATGGGCCATTTTTTAAAGTCAGCAGCAGATACAGACGCTCAGTTTTGTGTTTTTGCTGTTTCTGTTTTGGTGTTTTGTGCAGAAGAAGTGCTTGTGTTGATCCACTAGTGGCACCATGAATCACGTTGGATTAAAGCGCTTATCAGACATGCTAGTGATAACGTTTTTATGCAGCAATGTTCAAAGAGCAATCCTTCCGAAGATTTGCCTTAATTACCTGAATCGCACTCTGCTCTGATCTCTAAACATTAAAAAAAAACAAATGCACTGCAATTACGAGATGATGAGTCAAAACTAAAGACGGTGATACAAACACTCTTAACTCTTCTCCTTTAAATCAGCAGGGTGGTGGTCTTAAGGGTGGACTCACTTTTCAGATATTATTGTCATTTTAAGATCATCTTATGCCACTTATGATATAATGCTAATATAATAGCATGGTAATGCATGTGCACCCTTTCAAAGAGAAATTAACTTTTAATTCTTTAGAAAATTCACACATTGAATTTGAATATCGAAACTGTATTCAAATATCCTAAATAAATGAAACTACACTTCCAAAACAATAAATAAGTGTTACCAAAAGTGTGCAATGTCGGTGCTGTGGCTTATAATGGAAAACCCTGCTGTTTATTCTGACATTGTGTTGTCTAAAATGTTGGTGACTTTGTTCATGTAAACAAACATGCATGTAAAGAGAACAGGCAATATTGAGGTCAGCAAAAATGATCGAGGTCATGATAATATATCTTCTGGTAAGTCCATAATGTAATTATGGTGACCGGCATGATTCAGTATCATGTATGTTTCATGAGAGTTTGTATTACACACACACACACACACACACACACACACACACACACACACTCCTCCCATATTCTTCATCCTATCCTTCCAGATTGCACTCATGATGTTGTTTTCCCGCCATCTGGCAGCTGGTGGACGTTAATATTTTTTGCACATGGTTGATCATCTGTAACATGCAATATGTCCAGGTGTGGAATGAAAAAACAGCTGTGTAATAATGCTCACATTAGGAGGGGCTCCCCCTGGTCCAAGTTCGGTAATTAGCAAAGCCCTGTTATGAATCTAAAACTGTATCAACTGTAGCCAGCGGGGTGTGGCTGGGAGAATGGGTTGGGGGAGTGAGAGGGCGTATGTCATGACAGCTGCGTTAGTGGTTGCAGTCCCTGCAGTGAAAACATCACGTCCAGGCTTTTTTTGGTCATGTAACTCTGTTTTCACCGAAATATGTGGTTACTGTTTCTGAGGAACTTTATTAGAAACTGTTATCAAACACTCTGTGCCCCAAATGCATTTTCCATACTCTATTTTAGTCGGTGGCAAATTAGAAATTAGAATTTGTTAGTGCCCCTCTTTGTGCTCGCTTTTTGCTCCAAGCTAAATACAAATTCTCAGCATCAGTATTTATTATAGAAACCGTGACTGATTTTGACAAGCATTACAAACCAAAACTAACACCGTCTTTAAGCGTTTCAATGCTCTGAACAGTCGTGGGAAATGTTACACAACTCTGAGGAGGTATAAGCTTCCCTTGTTGTTATACCACTTAATATCTTTCAGTCCTAAAGCACTACTAGTAGTAGTTTTACATTTCCTTAAATTGTGAACTTAAACATCCTGGAGAAAAGTGGAAACGTAGATGTTATTCTTTCATGCATCTGCTCCTCAAGGGCATAGCTGCTCGATTTACCACTGGTTCCCTATTACGTCATTACCGCTCTCTTAAAGGGACAGCTCGGGTCTTTTATGAAGTGGGCTTGTGTGAGGTTCTAATCCATAGTCTGTGTTATTACCCAAAGTAGATGGCGGTCTGCACGCGCCGAATTTGGAGAAGCAGACAGTAGTCACCGCACAGAAGCAAAGCAATGTACTGTGGACGGGGCAGCAGCAAAGGGTATTTTAGACCCCTAAAAGAAAGGCCCGCCTAAAAAATGTCAAACTCGGTTTAAGTGTACGCTATATTTATAATATCTTTCGTTGATTTACCTTGCCATGAGACGGCCCTATTCAACGGGGAACTGAAGCCCTAGCTTGCCAAAGCCACCATTCATTTTACCTCAAAGAGAAATAGAGTATGTGAGAGAAGGGGCACACCCCACCTGCATCAGTATTCCTCCTGCAACATCTCCGGTCTTGATCTTTGAGCCTGTGAGCACATAGTGCGCATGGAGCAGAGCCACGGTTTCACACTGCCAACACATTAACTGTTGCTCAACATGCTGAGCTTTTATCAATCGATTCAGAAACATGTACTTGTGGCTTTTATGATTACAGCCTGATGAAGTGACTCAGACATGCGGATGGTAATTGGAGCTACCAGAGGATAACTTCAACATCTTTTAGTAGTAAAGGTATTTTGTGGGTTTTCCTCCTGGCAGACAGCTGCCGATGTGTCACCTAACGGGCTGGGAATTCCCTCTCTGAAAGGTAAACAAACCATGTTTGGGGGAAAAAGAAAATATTGGAAGAAGTTAGTTCCGCTTATTGAAAGTAAACAAGCCGACAGAAACGAACGGAAGAAGCACAAATTCCAAGTTATGCAGATGTTTTCATACAGAGGCAGACAGAAGGTGTTAACCAGAACACATCTGCCTGGCTGTCTGAGATTCATATTGATTGCATTCTGCAGCCATAATGTTACATAGTGTACTCTAGTTCATCTTGTTTTTGTTCCAATACAGCTAGTGCCAATCGGAAGTCTGAGATTATTGTGAAAGAGATCAATCAGGCTTAGCTACACAATAGTGTTAAGCAGCGTAGAAGTGTTTGTGTTTCTCAGAGGATTTTGTTGAGACCCCGGCTGCATTTGTTATATCGGCACTTTGATCTGAACTTACTTTTGTCAGTCAGAGTTGGCCTCTGCTGCCAGTAGTGAGCTGCCTGTTGGGACTGTGAGGAAGGTTGGCCAAGGGCAGCACATGACTGCAGCTCATTGTTGCACAACTTTCTCCCTCTTTCTGTCTTTGGTTAGATCTGTTTTTTTTCTGTATCTCTCTCACACACAATTCCCCAGGCATTGTCACACACACACACACACACACACACACACTGACCATTTGACATTAATTTCGTGGCCAGTACCTTGCACGATATATAAGATATTTGTGCTGATGTTTTGGTGCTTGTCATCATTATAGGTCCTACAATTCTACTTTGAAATTTGACTTTGATTGTTTTGCAATTAGTTTTATTTATTAAATGTTTGATTTAAAACAAAAAAAAAAGGAATTTAAAGAGTAAATTCACCCCAATGGCAAAAAAGCTAAATTAATCCTGGTGGTGGCCATGGAGACAGTTTTGTGCTATTCATATTTTAAGATATTTGCCTCTGAAGCATGTACCGAGGAGAACGTCATTTTGTTTGTGCTCCTCAAAACGTCTTTGCGGAAGTTCCTCTGTTACTCCAAATTATATGAATTTAGTTTGCATATGGATCATTTTTTTCACTAGAAAATAGTTCCTGTCAGGTATGAGAAATATCCAAAGTGACCGGGACATTGTTTCCGGAAAGAAACCTGGATGTTGAGTTTTTGAAATCTAATTTTTAAAAGCTTTGAGCAGCACAAATGCAATTCCATCCACCCCTTGCACTGTGCTAAGAGAAGGATACCTCAAATTCTGGGCCAATCCAACTAAAACTACCGGCATGCTCAATACAAAGGCCAAGCAGAAAATATCTTGACATATGGTTGAACTGAATCTTTTTGGCATGATTTAAGGCACAGAGAAACAGGCCAGTGTTACATACATAACATATTTCATAGATGCTTATGTACAGTACACACAAACATAAACATTCCCTCTCCTTTGGCTTCTCCCTCTCTACACATGCACGCCTGTCTCGCTCCCCTCCCAAAGTGCCCTTCATGTGCATTGATTTTTTTGTTGAAATAAGGAGACTCCATGGCACTGGAAGGTCAGGTTTCTGCTGCCACAGAGCTGTCTGAGGTCGGTCTGCTACTGATGCCACTGCCGTGCATCCCGCAATACCACTGGCAGCATCTGAAGCAGCTGCTGGAGACCAGAGACTTGAATATACTTTGTGCACACCCGTCATAAAAATCATCAAAGAAGATTGTAAATATGAAGAAAT